GCCTCTTTTCCTCCCTTATATTGTATGCAGGCTACCTGCCCTAAGGCGGGTAAAGCATTCACACCACCAATCTCAGTACTAGACAATGAACCAATCACAAATTCTAGATTCAGCCACCTCTGAAAAGCCCACCCTACATGACTGCATGTGGCCTTGGGGGGACATACAGACAGAAACTGTAATAGAGACCTTGTCTCAAAGAGAGAGAGGGAGAAGGAGAGGGAGAGAGAGAAAGAGAAATGAATAGACATTTCTCAGGTAAAGAAGTAGAAACGGCAAATATATGGAAAAAAAAGTATCACTGGTCATTCCAGCAATGCAAGTTAAAACATTGCTGAGATTCCATCTCACTCCAGAAAAAATGGCCATCATCAAGAAATCAATCAATAACAAGTGTTAGCAGGCCCATGGAAAAAGAAGCCCTTTTCCACTGTTGGTGGGAGTGTAGACTGGTGCAACCACTGTGGAAATCAGCATGAAGATTCCTCAAAAACCTAAAACTAAAAGTTCCATTCAACCCAGCTATCCCCCTTCTTGGTATCTTCCCAAAGGAATTAAAAGCATCATACCACAGTGATATATGCACACCCATGTTTATAGCAGCACAGTTTGTAATAGCTAAATCTTGGAAACAGCCCAAATGCCCATCAACAAATGAATGGATAAAGAAGAAGTGGTTTTTTTTATATAGTGGAGTGCTACTCTGCCATAAATAAAAATAAGCTTGAGACATTTATAGGTGAATGGATACACCTTGAGACTATATTCTTAAGTGAAATAAATTGGATACAACATGTTCAAATATCCCATGGTTTCTATGGTATGAGAAACCAAAAGTGTAGCCAGGCATGGTGGTGCACACCTGTAATCCCAGCACTCAGGAGACTGAGGCAGGAGGATCATTGTGAGTTCAAGACCAGCCTAGGCTACAAAGCAAGCTCAAGGACAGCCTGAATTGCACAGTAAGACCCTGTCTTATAAAGACAAAAAAGAAAAAGAAAAAAAAAAAAAAGAAAGAAAAGAAAAGCAAGAAGAAACCAAAAGTCTAAATAAGGACCAAAATGTATAATAGATATTGTGAAATGGAAAGAAAATGTTCAAATGGGAAGGGGAAATAGGGAGGGGAAAAGGCAAAAGGAAGGAAAAGATAAGAAAAGAGAAGGAAAAATGGAAGCAAAGCTTTTGCAAATAAGGTTGAAGGGAGGGGAGGGGAATGGGAAAGAAGAAGAAGTGAGATATATCATGTACTGGTACAAACTCCCTGTGATGAATGTGATCTTTTTAAACTTTTTTTTTCTTTTTTTAGTACCAGGAATCAAACTCAGGACTTTGCATTTGCCGGGTAGGTGCCTATGCTGCTGAGCTATATCCCCAGCCCATGAAAGTGACCTTATACATATCTAAAATGTACCAATAAAAAATAAATTAGAAGAAAAGAAAGTTGACTAATACAAGGAGTTGGCAATCTTTGAGTTTTACCTTTTATATTTGAAATAAATCAGTTTTGATTTATTGAGCCTTGGCTGAAAGAAAGAGAAAGAAAGAGAGACAGACAGACACAAGGAACGGAAAGGAAAGAAAGAGAAAAACTCAGCACAGTATGACTAAGCTTATCATTCAGCTCTGTCTTAGCCATCTTTCCTGACTGGGACAAAACACCCGACACCCACAATTCAAAAGGAGAAGCTTATTTGGTTCATGGTGTTCAGAGGACAGTCCATGGTCGCTTGGCTCCAAAGCAGAGGCGGGATGAACCTAGGAATTGGAGGCCAGCCTAGCCTACATAGTGAGACCCTGTCTCAAAAAAAAAAAACAAAAAAAACCAAAACCAAAACAACAACCTGACGTACCACCTGACAGCCAGGAAGCAGAGAGAGAAGGGAGGAGCTGGGGACAGGATTCACCCTTCCAGGCCACACCCCAGTGACCCTTCCCCTGCTCCCAGGCCTAGCCCCTTAATGCCACACTCAGCTACGAACTCATCAATGAGCACCCCGCCCCACGATCCAGTCATCTTCCAGACCCGTGAAGCTTTGGGGAAACATTTTAGAGCTGACCTGGTCTCTTACTGCAAGTCCCAAGGGCATTTGGTGCCCTTTCTTTATCCGGTTTTCTTTTTCTACCCCTGTCCTTGACCTATTTCTCAGAGGAATTTTTCTAGTGAAACTTGTTTTTAACTCTTTTTAGTCAGAATTAGCTAGAAGATAATGAGGCCCCTGTTCTATTTTTTTCCCTGTCTACACACCCCAGGCCCTACATTATGTAGCTCAGACAGGTTTTGAACTCACTACGTAGCCCAGGCTGGCCTCGACCTTACAGTGATCCTCCTACCTCAACCTCCCGAGTGCTGGGATGACAGGCGTGCACCACCATGCCTGGCTCACATTTTAATTTAATTTAATTTTTTTTTTTTTTTTTTT